GATTCGCTGTTGTTTGTCGAGCGCTGTCGGCTCCCTTTCGTAATATACATGTTGTCGTACCATGATTCTTTGGTTTGTCAAGGCAAAGATCAGAGCTTGATCGAGGTAGTCGCTAGGATGCATTCCCCGAGCGTTCGGCTCAAGTTACTTGGCCATGCGGGATACCTTGTTGCGAGTCCGAGGGAGACGCAGCTCCGTATGCTGCCCCAACCAGCCCACACGACATGGTAGCGACGCCCCTTTGAGCGAAATAGAAGCCACCGAGCGAGCGCGATAGAGCACATGCACCGGTGCACAGGTGCCAACGCTGATGATTCCACCACCCACCCTTCCCACTCGAGCTTCCCACGGGCTGTCCGACTAGAATAGTTCACGCTACAGAACCAATGCTGATTCGGCGACAGTCGCTGCTGGCCCGTGAGCGAGCATCATACGAATACAGGAGCCGAGCGAAAAGACACGCTCGACGACGACTCGCGCGTCGTACACGGGACCCCCGATGGCGTTCTCTGTCGCGCGGGAAGCTCCTCGAGCGCACGTGGGACCGGCAACACGACGCTACACCACTTTGCCCGTCACCCAAAAAGAGGCGTACCTTCTCCAACAACTTTGGCCGGTGTACCAAGTCGGCAAACTGCTGCCTGATCTGGCAAAAGGCGTTAGAAGAACATGTGGTTTTGAGTGACCTTTCTACACCACGTGGCACTTCGAGTCCGCCATACAAAAAGAGGGATAAGATATGATTGCCGTGACGTCCCACGGCCGGCGTTACCTCCCAACATCCTTCTTCCTCGTCGTAACAGATCTCCTTCGCGGCGACGATGCGCCATCGGCCGTGGCACGTGCAACCGCCTGTCCACGAGATCGTGTCTCTTCTTCTCAGACACGCTACCAGCCGTCCGTTCCGGTGGCAACGGTATACAAAGTCCAAGTGGTCGTCTTATGACGCCCGGCGCAACACAGAACGTTCGTTCGTTGAGCCTCAAATTGCTCTTGCCTCAAGAA